ACCTGACGCAGATTTGCGGTAACATTGCGGTTAATAATTTGAGTAAGTCAGAATAAAATCAAATGTAACAATTCATTATTAGTCAGATAAATGGATCGTGCCAATTACGTAATCAATTCAAAGAAAATCAATACAACAACATCAAATGCTCAGAAATGAGTAAAAGATGCATTCAAAATACATTTAGCATTATGTGCTGATCTGACTACAAATCGCACACTTAGCCTCTTGTAACATTTTTTTTTAAATACTCAGACCAAGACAGAAACCTCCTTAAAATGGAAACATGAGTTAACAATTGGAATTTGCATTAATCAAGGTCCCAGGCCTGGGTTGTTTATGAGGACAGAAGGTAATTTGCATGAAAGATCCTGGGAGAGGGCACACCCACCACAGTAAGCAAAATATCTCTAAATTCGTAAAACATTTTGGTTTACTTCTGTGGGAATAAGACCTTTGTAACAGTTGCACTAATACATTTCAAATGATACAAAACATGTACAGCGTTGTGTGATAATTGTTCACATTAAATCATTTAGATTTTTTGGGGTGAATTTCAGGTGATCTTTGGATGTGGAGAGAAGAGATGGGGGAAGAAAGAGTGAAGGGAAGGATTAAGACGATTCCGAATAGACGATTCGAGATAATTTTTCAGAAAAGTCGTTTGTTTTCTCAGGAGCAGCCCTTCTCTAAGCCAGACGGTTCGGCTCCAGTCTTACACTGTCTAAATCCAGTGAAAAGAAAATTAGACCCATGAACACCCTCTTATCTTCCACATTGCAAAACCTCAATTCACAATGAAATTAATTTCTCTTCTAGTTCAGTGTTTATTGGTGATGGTGTTATTTAATGGTGATGGTGTTATCAAAAGGCATTATCTGGAATTAGATTTTCACAAGTGAAGGTGGCATGGTAGCTACATGTTATTGTGAGAATAGCTACTATCAGATATAATACTGGGTTCCTAAGGTGGGACTCATCTCTACAGTGTGACTCATCTCTTCACCACACCGGCTCCTCCCCTTTCTTTTTGTTGACAGTAGCTGCAGGTATGTGCTGTTAGCACATTTGCTAACTTTTTAATCACTGTTTGTGTGGCATTTACTATTCGTTTGTTGTATCCTAACCTGTCTTTTCATCTCTGCGTGTTTCCCTTGGCTTGCTTCAATAGTGGAATTGACGACTGCTCACCTCAGGTACGAGTTAAGGCTGTTTTATCACAAGCAAACTGTCTAGCTTTACATACTTGACCTGCTTTTAGTAATGTGCAGTTCCCTGTACTCCAGTTTAGCAGTGGGTAATTTAAATGCTGTGTACTTTTGCCTGTGAAAGGATAATAGAGCAGGGCAACGTCCATTTTAGATAAGCGTTTTCTTTTATGTAGTTGCAAACGGGGAATTCTAGCAGGTGCTTCGTAACCCTGAGTAACATTTTGATTTTCTTTATGTTCGTATTTGCTGCAGGATTCTCCCTCTCATTCTTGATGATCATTGTTCTCAGCTGTCGCTATAGTTACAGCCCTGACGCTTTCTCTTCTGCCGTACTGCAAGAATGCAGTTGTCTCTGAACTAAAAGGGGATTGTTATTTGTCTGGTTTATTTGTCTGGATTCTATTGTCTATTTTTTATTATCATTTCGAGGCTCGCACGTGATAACTGGTGCTGGAGCACAAACTACGTGGTGGCTTCATGCGAGCCAGGGCTCTAGAGTGCGACCAATTTGGTCGCACATGCGACCAAAATTTGTAAGGGTGCGACAAGAATTTTTCCTAGGTCGCACCAGTGCACCTAACGTTCTCGCATGATCGCAATCGCATCTGCTGCCTCTCCACAAACGAGTCTTTTGTTCTCCTTGCACGCATTGGTTGGATCATATCGTGGTCTAAACCAATCAGAGATAGAGATTGGGTGGGTCTTTGCCTCTGATTGGTTGTGGTTCAGATATTCCTGTAGGACTAAAATGCTCCGTGCTGTCTGTGTGATTGAAATAAATTGCGACCTGTCACCTGAGCACCAGAGAATCAGTTATGGCAATCAGCAGCATCAGCTAAATAAACGCAGGAAAACAGACGACGAAGAAACTTTTACAAATGTAGGCTACTTGAACTAGGTAAAAAATATTGATTTCTCGATTCTCATTGATTTTTACGAACCGTTGGGCTATCAGTTGATGAATGAATGGAACATTGTAGCGAGCATCCCATCCAATAAATCGCAATAATCTTTGTGCTTTGTTACTATTGATATGAAACAAAGTCTCAGATTTCAAATTAGGATTCAAAAACATAAATAGTGTATTGACGCTGTGGCGTGAGATCGCTCTGGCTCAGCTCAGCTCAAGAGAAGCAGCAGTGCGGAGCGCACATGATCTTCTCTTCCGCCTCAATAATACCAGTTACAGCGCGAAATAAACATGAACGAGCATCTGAAAGTGTGTTAAAAGATAGAGTAGAACTTATCGAAATCCGTATCATGTCACATGGAATCGTTCAATCGGTGTTTCAACCGTGGAAAGACGTCAGTAAAACGCTTGTAAACAATGTAATGTAACGTCACATTTACCTCAGAAAAAACATATCCAGTGCCCATAAACTCGTTAGCTAGCTAGAAAAATTAACTCTAGAGGAGCATTGTGCCTAATATATGCACCATATTACACATTCATTATAATTTTTTATGTTTTTCAATATTTAATGCATGTTGTTTGAAAAAAATCTGGCAAGTTTTTATGCAGCCACCATTTAAATGTTTATATTTCATATAACTTTATTATTATAAAAAAAAAGTGTAATTTAGGTGTTTGTGTACAAATCAGGTAATTTTTACCTTCAATATTATAGTAGGCTAATGAAGCATAGTGGGCTACAACTGACTCCCAGTTTACAGCATTAGTTGAGATTTGTTTTTCTTGAGAAAATTTGCCATGTACTGTACCTGATATCCAATATAATCAATATTGAATCCAATTGTGAAATTTGTGTCAATATCCTGCCCTAACTTAAACAATGTAAAAACAGCACTTTAATTTTTTTTTTTTTTAAGATTTATATTTTTATATACAGTATAATTGTGCTTCAAAGTAAAAAAAAAACTACACCTTATTCTTGTTTAAAAGCATTTACATAATATACATGAATATATGGAACGTGATAAAAAGGTGACCTTGAAATTGTGGCGTTAAAGGCGACGCGAGACGAGGAAAAATTTGAGTGCACCTAAATTTTGTGCTGGTGCACCTAAATAAAAAAGTTAGGCGCACCAGTGCAACCAAGGCAAAAAGTTAGTCTGGAGCCCTGCGAGCCCTTTCTCCCTTGTCTGAAGTTGTTTCTTTGTTTGTTTTTTTCTACTGTTTTGAATATTATATTGTTTATTGTGATATATTTTTATGATTTAACCATCACTGTTTTCAGCCTCGTGTCTAAATTATGACATCATTAAACTGCTTTAATTTGTTTTATTTATCTATCTTTGTTTTTCTTTCTGGAGCTGAGGTCTCACGGGTGAAGGATCTTTTGTGGTGGTGGTGCTCCTTCAACGTTTGCCGTGTGACACTTTTGAAGTGTTTGGTTGTGTGATCTGAGTGCACGGTGGTGTGTTTGGAAGTGTGCTTTTGGATAACTACCTCTGGTGATCACTCCTGTGGGGAACCTCAACCTAGGTTGGTGTAGTTTGTTTTGATGTTTTTTCTTTTTGTGAGTGTGTGCATATTAGTCACTATGTAAAGTGTATGTATGTTTTTGTTTCTTTATTATTTTAAACAGTTTCTGCCACGAACCTTTAACAGTGAGTGTATTTTGTTGATTTTCTATCTTTACGTTTCTGTGAACTGTAAAGTTTAGTCTTTACGTAAAGTTCTTTTTGTGTCTTGTGTTTTACTGAAATATTTAACATAACTGCAAAGCATCAAATTTGTAAACAAAATGATTTACGCACTAAATTAAGCATAAACTCCGACACAATCTGCATATTTTCAAACTCAAGACAGACGTCACAATCCGAACCTCACAGCGATTGGCTGCCGACCACCATTTTCGCTTGATATTTGCATCAAATAGAGAACTGCCCACCCTTTTGACGTTCTCGGCTGCTCTCAACGCTGTCTCTGGTCTGCTGTCAATCTCACAATGCACTGCACAAACGTGAAGCTCGACTTCCATAGGTATTTATTGAAAATGCTCTCTCTGTTCCGCGCCAGTGGATATGCACGGTAAGACTTCATACATTACCTGAATCAGGTAGTGCTCGTCCTTTTCTGCTGGAACCACATGTGGAGTCACAGCACATACACACCTGGTCATTGTCATCTACAGAAGTCCATCTATACAAAGGAAAGAAAACTGGTTACTCATTTTTAACAACTCATTAGAGGTCTCAAATGGTATGCAATACCCATTATTGAAAGAGCAAGCTTTGTTCTCTGGACTTGTCAGGGTAGAGGCCATGACAGCCTTTAGAGCACAGGTGATGTACACCTACAGAAGAGGACACAGTTAAACATGACCAGTAAGAGAACTCACCCACAGAACTACAACCCAAAATGCATACCAAGCCACTACCAACTCGCAGGAACCTGAAAGCCTCCAACTGAAACTGCAGCTTGTCATTCTGAACACTGCACATGAAACTAAAAGTAGAGCCTGTGAGCTTTCCATCAACCAGGCACCTGAAGAGAGAGAGGGTGTGGTTTAACACTTTAGGCACTATTTGCAAACAGGAGTTTAAAGAGAGATTCCCTACTAACCCATAGTCAATAAAGGCATACCTTGGAAGAGAAGAGTTCACATCAGGGACTGCAGTAGCCACACAGTCTCCCACAAAGATACGCAGAGGGACGTGGTTGTATTGCTTCACAGAAGCTTCAAGGTTCAGGAACTGCCCTAGGAAATACTGATTGGATGGCCTCTCAAACCTCCAGTTATCTGAAATGAAACTCATGTTAGCAACATTCCCTAGCCACTTCTGAAATTCTAACATTGCATATTACCAGTCATGAGCTTCAAAGAAAACACCAGAACTTCCTCTCCGACTTTTGTAGCAGCAAAAGGAACCCAGCTGAGCATCAGCACATTGCTGCTTACATTTTGCAACCTAGTGGAAGCATTAAAACAAGATTAAGAAGAATGTAGCATTTAACAAAATTGCTTTGACAAGTTTGTTTTTACCTTGAATAATGACACTCAATTCCAACAGCTGCTGCATCAGCCCTTACGATGGGAGTTCCTACTAAAGGCTCTGGAGTGTAGAGGAGGGTGAAGGTGTAAACAAGCTCATCATTTGTCATCTGAAAAAAGCACAAGTAGCAGGTTACTGGACAGACTTGGCTTTTTCAGTTTCTAGGGTTGACCCATTAGCAGCCACTTACCGTCAGAGAGCTGCCAGCCTGGAGTCTGGAGCTCAAATTCAAATATAAGGACTTGAGCTTCTGGATAACGCAATTGTTCTCATAATTCTTTTTCGCCATAAAGATTTCATTTTTGATGTCCTGATTTATATTTTTGAGACCAGCAGAGTCCTTTTGCCTCAAGGCAAGTTTCCTCTTCTGGAAAATATATTTTATCTGTGAATTAATCCATGGTTTTGAGTTTAAATATGTTCTGATAGTCTTTACTGGTATCAATAAATCTATACAGAATTTGATGTAATCAGTAATAACTGAAACCTGCTCATCCAGCTCTCCCTCAAAGACTTCCCAGTCTGTACAAGCAAAGCACCTTTGAAGGCATGCAATAGCATCTTCCGACCATTAGGGTATGCTGCGTTTTACCGGCCTGTGTTGTTTCAGCCGTTGTTTGTGTGGTAGATTTTTCCCTAAACCTAACTACGTACCTGGGTCTCACCTCCAAATCGACGTCCCCTTAGTTCTTCCTTTACCTAAGTCTAGCTGGGTCTCGTCTCCAAATCAACGTCCCCTGGGTCTCGTCTCCAAATCGACGTCCCCTTAGTTCTGCCTTTTCCTAAGTCTAGCTGGGTCTCGTCTCCAAATCGACGTCCCCTGGGTCTTGTCTCCAAATCGACGTCCCCTGGGTCTCGTCTCCAAATCGACGTCCCCTTAGTTCTGCCTTTTCCTAAGTCTAGCTGGGTCTCGTCTCCAAATCGACGTCCCCTTAGTTCTGCCTTTTCCTAAGTCTAGCTGGGTCTCGTCTCCAAATCGACGTCCCCTGGGTCTTGTCTCCAAATCGACGTCCCCTGGGTCTCGTCTCCAAATCGACGTCCCCTTAGTTCTGCCTTTTCCTAAGTCTAGCTGGGTCTCGTCTCCAAATCGACGTCCCCTGGGTCTCGTCTCCAAATCGACGTCCCCTTAGTTCTGCCTTTTCCTAAGTCTAGCTGGGTCTCGTCTCCAAATCGACGTCCCCTGGGTCTTGTCTCCAAATCGACCTCCCCTTAGTTCTGCCTTTTCCTAAGTCTAGCTGGGTCTCGTCTCCAAATCGACGTCCCCTGGGTCTTGTCTCCAAATCGACCTCCCCTGGGTCTCGTCTCCAAATCGATGTCCCCTTAGTTCTGCCTTTTCCTAAGTCTAGCTGGGTCTCGTCTCCAAATCGACTTCCCCTTAGTTCTGCCTTTTCCTAAGTCTAGCTGGGTCTCGTCTCCAAATCGACGTCCCCTGGGTCTCGTCTCCAAATCGACATCCCCTTAGTTCTGCCTTTTCCTAAGTTTAGCTGGGTCTCGTCTCCAAATCGACGTCCCCTGGGTCTCGTCTCCAAATCGACGTCCCTTAACATTTACGATGTTTAGTTTATCTGGGTCTCCTAACTGACTTGCTTCCCTAAACTAACCTGCTACGCAGCAGTAAGAAAGAGACAGACTTCAGCAAATTTCCTCTAAATGCTTTAATCACGGCCGAAAGAGTCTTTGACATTTCATCAGAGAACTTCCCCCAAGAAGAACCAAGGCCGGAGGATCTCAGACAAATTCCATTGAGAATCCCACCAGTTTACACGAATACAACAGTTTTTATAGAATAAGGAGGTATGGCAAAAATGACATGAAACATTACATAATTTCCCAACAATTTGATTGGTTTTCATATGCAAAGCCTTCTGTTACCAGGTAAAAACAAACTCTGTTTCTGTGATTACTTCATGGTCACAAATTATGAAACTAGACATCTGTCTAGATGGGACAGAACGTTTTAGTACCTTGTGTTAAAATTGTTAGCCTGTTAGGCCTAAAAGAGAAGTTTAATATACAGTTTACTATTTTATTAATTTAAAAAATCCATCACATTTGTAAACAGGAAGTAAATGGATAACATTGTGATCCGCTAATCCTAGTGGTGGGAGAGCCCCAGCTTTAAAGAGCTTCCGAGATATTAATGTAACAAATCTGTAGTTTTATTGAATCTTCTTGGTACATCCACATGTTGATTGAATGCTGGCAATGAATAGTCAAGCCGACAGCTGTTAAAGTCACCAATAAGTGGCACTGGAGCATCCGGATATTTGCTGAGCATAGCCTATGTATTATGCCCTATCTGCTCAGCCGCTGCCTTGACATTCGCGTTTGGTGGAACATATACACAGCTAAGCACAACAAGTGGGAATTTCTTTTGGGAGATAGAAAGCACAGACGGACAGGGTGAGCAGCTACAGGTCCGGATTACAAATCTTCTCGTGTACTTTGATGTTAGTGCACCAGCACAAGTTGATGTACATACAAACCCGACCTCCATGCTATTTCCCAGAGTTACTGGTTCTGTCTGTTCAAAAGATCTCAACAAGGTGGCTAACTTGTTTTGGAAATTGTCCATTGGACGTCAAGCAGTGACCCAACACAGTTCAAAAATGGTTTATTTTACAAGAGTAAACAAACACTGTCTTTAATTCAGACTTTGATTAATATTACAATGAAATGCAATTTTCCAGTAATATGCAAAAAAAGTGTTGGTTAACCTTGGTTGCCCTGATTTATGACTACATTATTTTTAACCATTAAGCAATCTGCTTAACTAATCCAGGTTTATAGTAAAGTGATGTTTTAATCATGTTTTAGTTCATTTAAACCAAATGACATTTCCAGAAAGGTTGAGTAAAAAGTAATTTACAGCACACCTTTCAGTAATTTTAGGGCACCTGTAAAGTTCAGATGTGTGGGTAAAGGGGAACTACGTAAAGTTTGGGATAGTCAATATTTTAACCATTAAGAACGCATGTAAAACTGGGGGTGGGGAGGCATTTAATAGACTACCCAAGAGTGAGCCACGAGCCATGTAACTTGTAAGTAATATTGATACTTGGACCTTTGTCAGTACAAGTTGAGTTTACTTAAAGGTGCCCTAGAATGTTTTTTTTTATTTTTTTTATAATGTTTCCTGGGTTACCCTTATAATGTTAGTATGTTTTTTAGATAAAAAATAATTTAGAAATAAATACCATTTTTCCTAGCCTGCTTTTAGCCTCTGATTTGAACACTCTGTTTGAAGGGGCGTGTCTGCTGTGGGATTCAGTGTAACCGCGGCCACTGCTGTGATTGGCTGACATGCTTGCATATGAAATAGCTACGCATTACATGTGAAACTCTCTCCCGAATACTTTTACTACTGCTATTATACGTTTTTACTATAACAGCTATCGAGATTAACGAATCGTGAGATGTTTTTAAAGTATTTAGATCTATTCCCATCACATAAAATGTTGCCGTGATGAGCATTGAGCAGATGACAGTGTGTTGATCGCGAGAATGAAGATCTTATCATTGCAAAGCAGTTTCTGCACTCTCTCTGCTTTCACCAATGCAAACACGATGATGTAAATACAGTAAGAGCTTCGTTGTGCAGTAACGTGCGTCATTGATTTCATAACGAGTTTGGCAAGTGTCCAGATAAACTCGCGCTGTGTGGAAAGATTGTTCTTTGATCGCTTTCTGTATATAATTTGTTCACAATTTAAATACGATTATTTTCATCCTACTAAAAGAAACGATGTGAAGCTGATATTTTAGTCCCTGGCTTGATTTACTGATGCATAAACAGTATTGAACGATTTTGAGAGAAAGATTACCTGTCTGAACTTGAACAATTACACATCAGAAAGTGTTGCTTGGTAGCTCGATCCGAGGCCAGCTCTGTATTGGCCCAAGTTGAGGAAACAGTCGGTGAAATGTTTGGAAATTTCCAGAGAAAATAAAATTAACCCATTGTTTCTACAGAGGCTCAGATGAAGGAACTAAAAAATACTTTTGTGTTCATGTGTACATCCACACTGAGCAACTGCCATGCTTCGGCTGCGCAGTTCCGCCTGGCATTGAGGGCTGGCATTATGCAAATATTTGGAGGCGTACATATTAATGATCCTGACTATTGCGTCACAGTCGGTATTGTGTGGAGAACCGACCGTTTTTCAGGGGTGTTTTTCATAAACGTGAATTAAATGAGAACGCGAAAACATACCAGTTTGAGATTCACTCTATGTCATGTCCATGCACTGAACTCTTGTTATTTGACTATACCAAGGTAAATTCAATTTTGAATTATAGGTCACCTTTAAGTGCAATTTTTCAATACATGTCTGATACGTACAAGCCCTAAAAAAAGTGAAGCCAAAGCATCTCGATCACCCCCCGGTGACTGGTCCTAGTATAGGTCATAAACCCTGCCTCCCTGCGTTATTCAACGGGACGTGAGACCAACTAAACAATTAAATTACACTTCAAATATCTTTTTTCCAAAGGTGGTTTGTCATTTGCTGTCGTTGCTGTAAGCACGCTGATGTAAGTTCAAGTGTCTATTTTTAAAATAGGTTTGTTTTTAGTTAGTTACGTGATGCTATAAAAACGGTGGTGAAGCATCATTATTGACAGGATTGACAGACTCAAGTCCCAAGATGTCAGCGCCATATCGGGACACTGGCGGCTTCACTTTTCACCAATGGAAGAGAGCAAAGGGCGAGTCCATCTTTTTTTAACAGTCTATGGATAAGTATATGAGTAGACTAGATTGAAAGCGTGCCCTTTTAATTTAAGTATACTAATAGCACACTTTCATAAGGGGACCCTCATGTGTTGTAGCTAACATGCATATTTGCCATTTCTAAAAGTAAATAGGCCTGTTGTAAGGTCATTTAAGCTGGCAATTTTTACAGAATTTAAACTGTAGTCTATAGGTCTGGCTTACACAGTAACATACACCGTACTGCTCACTTGATACAAGGAATTAATTTTCTGCACAGAAAGCATCACTTGTGAATAAATTAACCACTGATTAAATCTTGTGCCAAGTGCCTTGCATGGTTGGGTCTCTATCCCAAACATATGTAAAAGGTAGGCCACCCAGGCTTTTGACTTACTGTACGTTCACACCGCCGCCGACTTGAGCGTCAAAGAAGTTCTGGCCGCCCTGTCAAGGACGCTTGTCAAAAAGTACGGGAAGCTTGTTGACGCAATGG